AACAAACAAAAAAAAAAACACCCAGGATATTGTACTCCCCATGCCCAATCCAGTTTATAGATCCTCTGTGTTTCTAATTATCTAGCTTTATAAGAAGCTTAGTTCTATGCTTTCAATTTGCAATTCATTTCCCACTTTTTGGTGTGCTAATAACCAAAAACGGGAATCACAACATCTTCACATTAAAGAATACATATATATATATACACACACACACGTTTTTTTTTTTGAGACGGAGTTTCGCTCTTGTTACCCAGGCTGGAGTGCAATGGCGAGATCTCGGCTCACGGCAACCTCCGCCTCCTGGGTTCAAGCAATTCTCCTGCCTCAGCCTCCTGAGTAGCTGGGACTATAGGCGCGCACCACCATGCCCAGCTAAATTTTGTATTTTTACCAGGATGGTCTCGATCTCTTGACCTCGTGATCCATCCGCCTCGGCCTCCCAAAGTGCTGGGATTATAGGCATGAGCCACCGTGCCACCAAGAATATATATAATTTTAAAATCCTTAAAGTAAAGGTGCTCAGGCCAGGCACGATGGCCCATGCCTATAATCTCAACACTTTGGGAGGACGAGGCAGGCAAACAACGAGGTCAGGAGATCAAGACCATCCTCGCTAACATGGTAAAACCCAGTCTTTACTAAAACTACAAAAAACTACCAGCTTGACCAACATGGTGAAACCCTATCCCTACTAAAAAATACATAAATTAGCCGGGCGTGGTAGCACGCACCTGTAGACCCAGCTACTCCAGAGGCTGAGGCAGGAGAATCACTTGAACCCAGGTGGCAGGGGTTGCAGTGAGCTGAGATCGTGCCACTGCACTCCAGCCTGGCAGGCACCTGTAGTCCCAGCTACTCGAGAAGCTGAGACAGGAGAATTGCTTGAACCCAGGAGGCAGAGGTTGCAGTGAGCCAAGATCGTGCCACTGTACTCCAGCCTGGGCGACAGAGCAAGACTCTGTCTCAAAAAAATAAATAAAAAATTTAAAACAAAAATTGTTAAGCCGCTCAATTTAAGCAGAAACATAGGGGATAGGATACACTCAACCTACCATCCATTTCAGGTGAGTTGGAAACTTTTCTTTTATCCACAGAAACCAGTATTTTCACACCATTAAGACTGTAAATCTGTTTTCTCCAATTGTTTTTTACCATGTGCACTTTTTGTGTATGTGTGTGATGGCAAGATCTCGGCTCACTGCAATCTCCGCCTCCAGGATTCAAGTGATTTTCCTGCCTCAGCCTCCCCAGTATTTGGGATTATAGGCACATGCCACCACACCCAGCTAATTTTTGTATTTTTTGTAGACAGGGTTTCACCATGTTGGCCAGGCTCACCTGGAACTCCCAACATCAGGTGATCTGCCTGTATCAGCCTCCCAAAATACTGGGATTACAAGCATGAACCACTGCATCCAACCCTTACACAATTCTTATACAAATAATTAGCTTGGACTGCACGCTAATTATTTATATAAGAAATACAGGTGGACAGATCACTTGAGGCCAGGAGTTCGAGACCAGCCTGGCCAACATGGCAAAACCCTCTCTCTACTAAAAATACAAAAATTAGCCAGGCATGGTGGACCACGCCTGGAATCCCAGCTACTTGGGAGACTGAGACAGGAGAATCGCTTGAACCCAGAAGGCAGAGGTTGCAGTGAGCCGAGACTGCGCCACTCTACTCCAGCCTGGATGACAGAACGAGACTCTGTCAAAAATAATAATGATAATAATTAGCTTGGAATTAAACATTGAAGCAAAAGGCATCCAAGTCTCAAGATAACAATGGAATGGATATGTTTTCAGAAAAGGCTTTTCTCATATATACACAGTGTTATCTCTTATAAGATTTTAAATTGGCAAAAAGAACCTAAAATAAGTAAAGGAAATAGGCAAAAATTCCAATTAAAACAGGAGTGTTTTAAAAACTAAAAGTATCAGGATATAAAGAGAATCCATGTTTTTGGCTCATGCCTGCAATCCCAGCACTTTGGGAAGCTAAGGCAAGCAGATCACCTGAGGTCAGGAGTTTGAGATCAGCTAGGCCAACATAGTGAAACCACATCTCTACTAAAAAATACAAAAATTAGCCAGGACTGATGGCATGCACCTATAATCCCAGCTGCTTGGGAGGCTGAAACAGGACAACTGCTTGAACCCAGGAGGTGGAGATTACAGTGAGCCAAGATCGCCACTGCACTCCAATCTGGAGCAAAACTCCATCTCAAAACACAAATAAGTAAATAAAAATTAAAAAAACAGAATCCACGTTTTGTTACTATCTCCAAGAACCACCAGAAGAGAATGAGAGAGAAGGAACTTAAAACAGTAAGATGAAGTGTTAAGTTACTACCTGCCAAACATTCTTGCATCAAAGCACAGGAAACAAGCAAATATCCAGAATGAAAGGCTGTGTTTTTACCCGTATTAATATCTGATGCCTAGTCTTCCCACAAGTAAAATCACCTAGGTTATCAATAACAAGTTATAGGCCAGACATGCTGACTCATGCCTATATCCCAGCACTTTGGGAAGTCAAGGTGGGTGGATCATTTGAGACCAGGAGTTCAAGCGAAACCAGCTTGGCCAACATGGCAAAACCCTGTCTCTACCAAAAACACAAAAATTAGTAAGGCCTGCTGGCACGCACCTGTAGTCCCAGCCACTTAGGAGGCTGAAGCACAAGAATTGCTTGAACCTAGGAGGCAGAGGTTGTAGTGAGCTGAGATCACACCACTGTAC